TAGTTATTTGAAACCGAGGGGACGTAGCGAATTTGCGGAATTAGAGAGGTCTGCTGGGACGAGGAAAGAGATAGATCCATGACTTTTTTCAAAGGAAGTTTTGAGAAAATGAACTCGGTAAAAAATGCTGGAATTTGAACGCAGTACGCCGATTCCATCGTCAGCGCCAATAACCGTTACGCAACCTGCCGTCTTCCTATACACAGTATCACTTTTTGACTAGTCACAGACTGTCAATAGCCTTGGCTGTAGTATGTGCCTGTATTTGTTATTTCTTATCATCTACGGCGCCTGTAATCTCACACGTTGTTCTTCCGTGTCTTTTGTTTGATAATCTGATCATCGCTGAGTGGCTGAGTGGCTTTCTTTCGATGTTTGTTAACGGTCGAAACAAGCAACGGTCTTTAAAAAGTCCCCTACTCTCAGACTTTTACATTTAAAATTGGTCAAGGTTTTATTGAGACGAGTGTCCACCTCACTATCACAGCTCGCAACGGGCTAGTCATTGTACCAGCACCTTGTCGATGTCTTGATTCTTTTCCAAGAATTAACGATCTATAAACAAATCGTCCTTCACTATGAATGATTTCTTAATTTGTTACAATCATTTAACTTAACTGTCTTCACTGACGATGGCCTTATATTGTTGTGAAGATTGCCTAATCGAGCATCTGTAACACTTAAGTAGTGCTTGGTGGGGGGAAAAAAACTCCTGATAGGCCTGTCTGACTAGTTTAATTGTATACCTTTAATACTCTGTGAACACGTGTTGTCAACAAGCAATAGGACAATTCTTCAATTCCAACATTTGGTACATGTTATCGGACAGCAATTACAAATTGTTCCAGAAGCCAGAATGAAAAGAAGTGGATATGTATTCAGTTAATTATTTTTTGTGATTGGGAATTTCTTGGGAGCGAGTTATTTTTACATCTCTTGGGGCAATAGTATAACGTCTGATGCAGACAGGCACTGCCGACTGCACTGATGAAAATGGCGAAATTTTATCTTCATCCCTATTATTCTTTGATAGATGCGTTTTTTTTTTTCGGATAATTCTTCAAGTCCATTTTTTTCTTCCCGGAAAGTACATTTTAGTTTCTGCCTGAATTCATCTAAGATGCCATCATCCATTGACTTCGCTCCAAGACCGTAACAGTCTTTGGTTTGGTTTGGTTTGGTTTGGTTTGGTTTGCGGCATATCAACCTCAATGAGTTATTTAATGCCGGCAATATTTTTATTGCTGGTAATATTTTTTTCCCAAAAAATGTATTGCTGGTAATAATTTTTTTTCAAAAATTCATTGTTGGTAATATTTGATTTTACAAAAATGTATTGATGGTATTAAAACCTATTTTTACATTTTCATAGTGTTTTGACCCCAGTTTGGGGGTTAACTATTTGCCCATAGTTGGGACCCTAACAGGTGCTATCACCTCGGGTCAGTGTCAACCTGGGAATACCAGCAATTAAGAGGTGGTTCCACGTTCCTCAAAATCTCTTGATCAGATGCCTTGCTGCTGGATGTAGTTTATCGTCTTACCGGGGACGAACAGTCTTCGGAATGCTTCAAGCAGCTTGCTGTTATGCTGGGATCGATCATTAGTTGTTCTTTACTGATAGCTTTTTTTTGCAACATCTCGCCAAATACAAGAAAGCCTTTTTCCGAGCCATGGTAGAAACCGCGAGATTACAGCTTCGTCGTGCTTTTTCAAGTTACACTAGCTTCAGTGATTTTATTTTTAATGCACATGAAGAGTCACTTTGATTAATAAATATCTGTATTTTTAAAAGATCCTTTCACCCGCATGCAAAGTGATAATGCCACAAAAACGCAAGGCTTTACTGGAAGGGAAAGAGAATGAGAAGACTTTAGTGAAGAGTAAGGGCAATAAAAGAACAGGTTCGAGAAGATAAAAAATAGCGAATTGACCTTGCATTTACATTTTTGAAGAAGATAGGCGACAGGGAAAAAAAAAAAAAAAACTGGAAGAAAGTTCCTCAGACAAGAAGTGCGAGAAAAGAAACTGATGGCATAAAGCTTACGGTTACATCTTGCTATTTCAACAATAATACGATGAGACATTTTTGCCGATCTAGTAGCAAACTTAAATTCATGCAATCGAGGTAGCAAGGATCATAACTCATAAACACGGCTATGAAAATAGTTTTTTTTAATATTATTAAAGTATTTCACCCCAAGCAAGGCGAGAGTGCCACTAGCACGCAAGGGATGACAGTGGATTGAGAACAAGATTAAAGAGGCATGTTTTGGGAAAGAATGCCTAGAAGGACGGGGATGAAGCTCAGGGTGTCAGGTGTCGATTAACATTACACTTGAATATTTGAAGATTATAGACGTCAAGGAAGCAAGTAAGAGGAAGGAAGTTCCACAGACGGGAAGTGCAAGAGAAAAAATTGTTTCGGTAGAAGAGACGGTTGTATATAACCGTTTTGACAGTGAGAGGGTGGGACCGAGATGCCAGCCTGGTAGCTCGCTTAAATTCATTCAAACCGTGAACCAGCGACAGCAGCTCGTCGGAAGAGTTGCCGTGAAAATTCTTGTAGAAGAGACAGAGGGAGGCCACAGCACATCTATGGGATAGCGATTGTAGACTAGATGCCAGAACAGGGATTATCATCTTGCGGGAGGCACCAGACCATATATGACAGCAATATTCCATGCGAGACAGCGGTAGATCACGACCCGGCGCTGGGAATGTGACTGGATTTGAGATGCTATGTCAGGGCCAATAACATAGACCTTTCCCTTGTTTTCTTGATCGTTGACGCTATTGTTATTTCAATATGATTTCTCTTTTTCACCCCGATCTCGATGCTGTAAGATGTGAAACCATGATTAATTGTCACAGAGATATAATCGGAATAAAAACGTAGATTTAATGAAGACACCGGTACAGTTTTTGCAATGCTGCCAAATCTTATTAATTATTTCTTTGAGCTCCACCTTAAACAAATTCCCGCCAATGGTACTTTCATCTACTCTGATTTTGTTTCACCTCCAATCCACATCTTGCAAAGGGAAATGGACGACGGGAGTAGGTTTTGGTGAAACTGGAAGCTTCTAAACCTGAATCTGCAAGTAGGCGGCGTATTTAGTTATCAACACCAACATTCAAAACACTTCAAGTATTTAAAGTATTCGAGTTTCAGTAAGGGAAAAGACTGTGAGGGCGCACACAAATATCCCAATATAAAAAAAAATAACGCTTGCACCCTCGATGTTGTAAATTTCAAAATCTGTTAGACTGAATCCGTTCACTGCAGTCATAGTAGAAAACCTTACTACGTAACCAAAAGGATGAATAATAAACCAATCAAATCGCTTCATTTTACTTTTCAAAAGTGCTGACCTCGGAACATGTCGAAGAAAATAAGTTAGCAAGTCGAAAATAAGTAGACGCACTCACTTCAGAAGGATTCACCTGCTACCGGTGACTTCAAAGGAACCGACACCAATCACATTTGTCTTTTCAGCATGATGCTACAAAATTTTGCTTTTTTTTGTCCGATTACCAACGGTGTATTCTTTCCCATCACAAAGTTGGGAAGAGCATCATTTTTACTAGATATATAATCGTAATACGCTCGGAAAGTTAATGAAAACACCACTGCATGTTTGGCTATACTTTTAAAATTCTCATTTTGTTTTATCTTCATTCATATGTTAAATTTATTTCAACACTGTTTAAACTGGCCGATTGTCATCAGGCCGAATGAGCACCTTCTATTAACAGACAAGAGAACAACACGAAATCAATAAGTACCATAATTTTTAACAGATTTTTATTAGGAAGAAAATCGTAAAATTTAGTAGTCACTGACACATGGAAATTTGTTGAGATAATACAAATTTTTGCTTGGCATTCTTTCCCTATCGTGAAATCACGAGAAATGGTATCTCATAAGTTAGCTGATGGAGTTTGTTTTATTGATTTGTTTTACTACTATTTCTTTCATCTTAATTTCAGTTGCATTTCATGGTAATTAATCAGACTTTCAATCTGTAGTCGTTAATAAAAACCGAAGAAAATAAGAGATACATCATTTCAGAAAGTCTTCTTTTTCTTTCTTTTTCCTGTGTTTTTTTTTAAAGAACTTTTGTGCCCCAAGAAGTTTACAGTTGACAGAAAAGCAAATCTAACTCATAAACTTGCTTTTCATTTTCCCCGATCGCTCGGGGCCACATATAATTCTACTGTTTTCACGTAGACCCATAGTATTAGATTATAATTCTGCTTCATTAGTAAGTCAGTGCGCATGTTAAAAGCTACCATTACCTTAGACAAATAATGCATCATTTCGTTTTGATTGCAGAGAAAGGCGAAAGAAAAAAAAGGATATAGCCGAGATTACGTTTGGTTTTGATGATATAAAGAAAGCCTACATAATAAGAACAAAGGTAAGAAGAAAGAAAGAAAGAAAGAAGGAAGGAAGGAAGGAAGGAAGGAAGGAGGAGGCGATAGTGTCTAATGTGTTTAACGTCTGTTTCAGCGAATTAGAAAACCTTAGTAATTTTGAATATTTCCATTTCTACCATTGCAATTATTTAAATAATTACCTGCATTCATGGTTAAGATTAAGATTTTGATAAAGTTGATAAGCTCAAATATTTAACTAGGCAATAGATGAATTTTACACGTGTGTTTTATAGTCGGGAAACTTGCCATGAACTTATTCAATCATTAACTTAAGAAGCAAAATTAATTCTAAAATTAAAAAAAAATTTACACGGGTGTTTTATAGTCGTGAAATTTGCCATAAACTTATTCAATCATTAACATAAGAAGTAAAATTAATTCGAAAATTCAAGTGGTGAGAACGTAAAATTTTCACGGTACTGTGAGTTAATAATATATTGAAGATTTTATTAGATAAATAACCTGTACTATTTTTTTTAAACTGAATTTCTTTTTTGTATTTCTTATTTGACCTACACATAAACAATATGAAAATTGTGAACAGACACGCTAGCCTTATGTTCTACCACGGAATCCTATCGCAAACGGTTGCCGTAAACATTATTGGTATGATCGATCTTTTCCGAATAAGCTGCGGGCCTTCGGTGGGTCAGTCGTCCCAGGGAGCGCGAGGAGTGGCGTATTTCTCTGAAGAATCAGTCAGGCTCCTCACCTTCGCGTGTTGTAAGTCATTCTTCACGCAGTGACGCCGACACTGTTGTGCCGAAGATTTGGCCAGCGCCCAGGTTGTATCTTAAGGCAATTTTCCAGCAGGGGGCGTTGCAGTCGCAAGTAACTTTGCTTCTCTTTCACTCACCGGTTCAAATGCAGACAGGAACTGCGATTTTCGGGACTTCCGACAGCAACTAATTGCAATCAGATTTACTTTCCAGTACCATGCTGTTTGAGGAAAGAAAACTGCATTTCTATAGGCTATCGCGTAACGGAAAAGATATGCCCAACAATTGGGCATCTTGAAGCTGATTTTTTTTAAGGCAATTCACTCCAAACAAGGCGGGAGTGCGACTAGCACACAAGGGGTTGCAGAGGATTGAGAACAAGAGTAAAGAGGCGTGTTTGAGGAAAGGATGCTGAGAAGGACGGGGAACAAGCTCATGGTGTCAGATGTCCATTGACATTATACTTGAATATTTGAAGATTATAGTCATCGGGGAAGTAAGGGGAAGGGAGTTCCACAGACGGGAAGGGCGGGAGAAGAAGCTGTTTGAGTAAAAGAGACGATTATATTTAACCGTTTTGACAGTGAAAGGATGAGACAGAGATGCCAGCCTGGTAGTACGTTTAAATTCATGAAGTCTGGGAACTAACGACAGTAGCTCGTCGGAACAGTTGCCGTGAAAATATTTGTAGAAAAGACAGAGGGAGGCCACGGCACATCTGAGGGTTAGCGATTGTACACTAGATGCCAGATCAGGGACTATCATCTTGCATATTCGTCTCTGGGTTTTGTCAAGGACCGGGAGCACCAGACTATATATGACTGCAATATTCCATGCAAAGACAGATGAGTGAATTATAGATCTGAAGGATGCACTCAGACGAGAAAAACTTTCTGGCATGACACAGAGAGCCAACTGCGGTAAATGATGCTATTGATCGAATGTATTTATTCCACCTCATGTCAGTGGACATCGCGTGACCAACCAGGCGCTCTAAAGGAGTTAGGAATCAGTCATTCTGATTGGAGACAGGAAGGGATCTCTGTGATGATAGGACAGCAGATTCATTTTGGAGGTATGGAAGTTTACAAGCCATTTCCTGCCCCAGTCAGCCACAGATTTGAGGTCCTTTTCGGGATCAGCAGTCAGGTTAGTTTTGTCAACGATACTTATTTGGGCATAAACGAACTTTTTCTTATGTTAATAAAAGATGTTCAAGAATCTTTGAATTGACTGAGTCAGAAAATCAGAGATACATTGTCGTATACTTGCAGTCTTCTGAGTATAATAATTATTTTATTACCGGGTGATAAGAATAAGAAAATATTGTTTTCATAACTGAAATAAGTGTTTATCCACTTCACGACTCCGTCAAATTAATTTCAGTCAATCGAAGGTGCGTGACTTCGGGCCATTCTTCCAATGTTCGATCTTCATACGATGCGGCGATAGATAAGGATTTCTCTCGTAGGCCATGCATATAACTTCTTAACATTCATTTTTTGTGAGTATATTCTAAGTTCAGGTAGGAGCACTTTCTTTGATTTATTTTAGTAAGCTCACGGATATACGTTGAGGCCTGATTCTTCAGTTGAAGGCTTTGAGCTTACTTTCTAGCCTTCTGAATGCCACCCATGCAGCTGAGAATAAATAAGCTATAAATGAAATAAAATATCCGAAACATCTAATCAGAAATTCGGTGTATATTTCTTTCTTTCCTTTTTTCAGTTTATTTGATTCTTTCTTTCTTTCTTTCTTTTAATTCATTCGGTTCTTTCTTTTTTCTTTCCATTCATTTGGCTCATTCTCTTTCTTTCTTTCTTTCTTTCTTTCTTTCTTTCTTTCTTTCTTTCTTTCTTTCTTACAATTCATTTGGTTCGTTTTTAAAAAATCCTTCGTTTCTTTCTTTCTTTTTTCTTTCTTTCTTACATTTTTTTGTTCTTTTTTTCTATTAAATCATTAAGTTCTTTCTTTCTTTTTTTCTTTGTTGGTCCGTTTGTTTCTTCCCCTTCTTTGAATTTATTCGGTTCTTTCTTTCTTTTAATTAATTCGGATCTTTCTTTCTTTCTTTCTTTCTTTCTTTCTTTCTTTCTTTCTTTCTTACACTTAAAGGTTCTCAGTATTTGAAACATTTATTCGATTTTCATTAAGCACATTCAATCGCTGTCATACCACGGTGGCAAAACACTGAATGCAATATCTACTGCATATGTGACAGGATAGCAGATGTTCCTTCATGAACAGAATAAAACTGTCCAAGAGCAGTTCCTTAGTTGGTCGACACTGATGGATGCCACAGAGTCTTTTCATGACTACGTGATTAAAACACGAGTAAAAAATAAGATCTTGTCGTAGGCAGATCTCGTATTTTCGTTATTAATATATTCGTAGTTTTACTCTTTCTCTGGGTCAATATACTCCTCGACGGCTAAGGCAAATAATATAAACTTGGAAATAAAGGATCATATTAAGAGTAAGTAAAAATAAAATCCTTATAATCTTATTTTGCAGCTGAAAATAAATAAGCTATAAATGAAAGAATATATCCAAAACTCTAATCAGAAATTCGGTTTGTATTTCTTTCTTTCCTGCTTTCTATTCATTCGGTTCTTTCTTTCTTTCTTTTAATTAATTCGGTTCTTTCTTTCTTTCTTTCTTTCTTTCTTTCTTTCTTTCTTTCTTTCTTTCTTTCTTTCCTTCAATACATTCGGTTCTTTCTTTCTTTCTTTCTTTCTTTTTTTCTTTCTTTCCTTCCTTCCTTCCTTCCTTCCTTCCTTCCTTCAATACATTCGGTTCTTTCTTTCTTTCTTTCTTTCTTTCTTTCTTTCTTTCTTTCAATACATTCGGTTCTTTCTTTCTTTCTTTCTTTCTTTTCTTTCTTTTCTTTCTTTTCTTTCTTTTCTTTCTTTCCTTCTTCAATACATTTGGTTCTTTCTTTTTTTCTTTCTTTCTTTCTTTCTTTCAATACATTCGGTTCTTTCTTTCTTTCTTTTCTTTCTTTCTTTCTTTCTTTCTTTCAATACATCTGGTTTTTTTCTTTCTTTCTTTCTTTCTTTTTTTTTTCTTTCTTTCAATACTTTCGGTTTCTTTCTTTTTTCTTTCTTTCTTTTTCTTTCCTTCAATACATTCGGTTTTTCTTTCCTTCAATACATTCGGTTCTTTCTTTCTTTCTTTCTTTCTTTCTTTCAATACATTCGGTTCTTTCTTTCTTTCTTTCTTTCTTTCTTTCTTTCTTTCTTTCTTTCTTTCTTTCCTTCCTTCAATACATTCGGTTCTTTCTTTCTTTCTTTCTTTCTTTCTTTCTTTCTTTCAATACATTCGGTTCTTTCTTTCTTTCTTTCTTTCTTTCCTTCAATACATTCGGTTTTTCTTTCTTTCAATTCATTCGGTTATTTCGTTCTTCCCCTATTTATCATTTCCTTCTCAGCATCGTATTTATCTAGTCGTTTTGAAAGCTATGATTTTTGGTTGGTCATGGGCGCAGATAACACATGACCTTTGTTGTGCATTTTAAAAGGAACTGGTTAAGCAGACAACTCTTGAATGACGAGCAATTGTTGGGCGGGCTGCTGGGTGGGACATGATCGAAGTCTGATACCTAAATAGCAATTAACATTAAATAAGGAGTTTGGCAGTAAGCCAATGAATTGTAAATTTTTGTACCTGTTATCGATCAGATAAATAGGAAAAATAAACAACAATACGTTTTGCTTGTATTATTTTTTTTTTTGAAATTATTTTATTTATTTACTTTTTCTTTTTTGGTGTTTGATTTATATATATATATAGATAGATAGATAGATAGATAGATAGATAGATAGATAGATAGAGAGGGAGAGAGAGAGAGTGAGATAGAGAGAGAATATTAGTGGTCAATATATATATATATATATATATATATATATATATATACATATATATATTTATATATATAATTATTTATTTAAAATATGATTCTACACTACATAAATGAATAAATAATTATATTTAGGCTCTACTTTTGTATAGAGCACTGTTGTTTTTTTTAAAATAAAAACAAAATTACCAGAGAACTTCGGATTATTTGCCTAACGAGTTATTTCCTATTTTTATATATTTTCACACACACACAAAACACATACACACACACACACACACATACATACATACATACATACATATATATATATATATATATATATATATATATATATATATATATATATATATATATATATATATATATATATCAAGAGAATAAAATCCAGGTAGAGCTCTATCTATAAGACAGACCAAGAATATATATAAAAGGCCCAAACTCTAATATTTCATTGTCATAATTTATTACATTGGAATCGTAATCACGATCCAATTCGTCAGACTTACAAATTCAAAAGCAATATAATATATATATATATATATATATATATATATATATATATATATATATATATATATATATATATATATATATAGAGAGAGAGAGAGAGAGAGAGAGAGAGTTGTAGATACAAACGTGTCCTCCATGATATTAGGTTTTTTTGTTAACTGAAAGAATGAAGTAGCATATAGCCACTAACATGTTTGGTCCTTTTGACTACTGGTGGTTATGTGTTAAATAATGGTAAGTCCTCAATCCCTCCTCTGTCTTAACTAAGATTTAAGAAGATAAAACATGTTTTCCCCGTAAATTCTCTTCTAATTCTACTTTTAACACATCTGGAATGTCTTCACCAGACTTTCCATGTAGAACTGAGTCTCAACTGTGTGAAAATCTGTTGGATTAATAAATAAAAAGTCCATCACTTCTTTAGAAATTGCTAAATATTTAGTTGAAGCCATAGAATTGTTCAAAATATTTAGATTTCGACCCGTGGGGGTTGGTGTGTCGCTGAACAAAATCAACCAGACAAACAAAAAAACTATTGAAAAATTTAAAAGCTACAACATATCAACGCCCCTAGTAATTATGTGCACACAAACATGTATATGCACAAAAGCTGAGTATTATTTACCATGCACTCGATTGTGAAAAGAGACTAACATATATCATATTTTTATTACTTCAAAGCTCCCTAGAAAATTAAATGTCGGCAATAAATGAACCATGAGGAGTTAATATGCCGTTAAAGAAACAACTAAAATGAACCATGGTGCCTCTATCTATCCCCCTTCTCACTATATATATCTATCTATCTATCTATCTATCTATCTATATATATATATATATATATATATATATATATATATATATATATATATGATGTTTCTTTTTGAATTTGTAGGTTTCATGAATTGGACCGTAATTACGATTGCAGTGTAAATAAATTAGAACCATGAAACATTAGTGCTTGAGCTTTTTATATTATATTTTTGCTCTGTCTTGTACATAGAGCTCTACCTGGATTTTATCCTATTGAAATATATATATATATATATATATATATATATATATATATATATATGGTATATTGACAACAAATATTATCTCTCTCTTTCTTTATCTCTATCTGCCCTTCTGTCAATCTGTCTCTCTGCTTCTGTCGCTGTCTCTCTGTCTCTCTGTCTCTCTCTCTCTCTCTCTCTCTATATATATATATATATATGTGTGTGTGTGTGTGTGTTTCTGTGTGTGTGTGCGTGTGTGTGTGTAGGATTGTAATCATGGTTAATCATAGCAGCTGATGTGAAACTCAGAGTAATGTGTATAGGTCTGAAGACAGAGTCCGTATTGCTCTTTACATATACTTAAACCCTAAATCTGATATATATATATATATATATAGTGTGTGTATTTAGGCAGCATTTTTCATTAATGTATGTTTCATTAAATAATATAGACAAGTTTTATCTTTTTATTTTATAAAAAATTTTATATCCTAATAAGCTTAATAACATTATCATTGAAAGACGAAAGAAAATCACCATATTGATACAGGTTTTTTAATCCTATCTAAGCTTTCACCTTACATAAGTCATCATCGGAGATGACAAATACATTACAATAAATTAAACAATACATGGACATATCAATAATGATTGTCTATTTTGTTTGCATGGAAAATTTCCAAGCAATGACAAACTCGTGCATACGAGCCACTGGAAATGAAAATCGCACCGCGGCCCATGACATCACACATGACCACGCAAGAGTGAAGACGAGAAGTGTTAAACATGGGAAGCCGTTGGTATAAACCACTGGCTTCTGTTATCAATTATAGGCATTTAAGTTTATTTGCCGAGTTTTAATTGTTTATTTTGTTCATGTTAGGTTTCAACTTTTTTATGTATACAGCTTCGAGAATTTTTAGTTTTTGCTTATTGTTTTCATGTTTAAGTATAGTTGTATTTTCAACAAGGATTTTCCGGAACTGTGTATGCGGCCTAGCATGTTGTTTTAAATGCCTAAAAATGTTAGAATTGTCATTCAAATGTAGAGTCAAGCATCGTGTGACCAACATAAATATTATTTAATCCGTTGGGGATACAATCTCCCGGAGGGCACTTGAATTTGTAAACTATGTTAGTTTTTTACAAATCGCTAACGAGGGAGTAGAACTTTTATGAATAATTGAGATGTATATACTAGATTTACTGTAGTATATAATTAACTTAATTTTTTGCTAGGATCTGTTGTAGATATATTAGTATTTACCAATTTTTTAGTATATTTTCAACTTGTTTAAAATTAGTATGCATTTGATTACGACATAGGAGATTAATGTGTTTGGGATTAGTTGAAGCAGTATTAAATTTTATTTGTTTAGTATTGAGACTTCGAAGAAAGTATTTTATTTTTTCATCAACTATATAGTCTGGAAAGTGTTAATAAGTGTTTGTTTTATATTCTTTAGGTAACTGTAATATATATATATATATATATATATATATATATATATATATATATATATATATATATAGATAGATAGATAGATATAGAAATATAATGTTGTGGAATTGTTAGGGCCATAAATAAAGACCCAAGAGAAATTGATTTAAACAAATATATTAACAGAAACAGTAATATAAGCATATACAAACGAGAGTGTTACAGCAAGAATGTTCGGCCTGAATGTCAGAGCTGACTGCTGGAAATTTCCTTCTTCAAAAGGCAGTACCTGCTCCCTATTTATAGCTCGGAGAGTGCATGCTTGCGGGGGTAAATTAATATATATATATATATATATATATATATATATATATATATGTATATAACTATACCATCACCTGAAGAAGTATAATCAAAGTTTTGAAGCATGAAAGCTTTTTGTGTATGATTTTAACTTTTTTAAAATTATAATCTCTTATAATAAAATGAAAAAAGTAATAATATATTGATCTACTTTGAAATGAACACTTTTTAAAAAGTAATTGTTACGGACAGTGGATTTTTCTTTCTCTGAAAATCTCGACCCAAAAAAAAAAAAAAAAAAAAAAAATCCGTGACGTTGCAAGCTAGGGAAATGAGCAAAGGTACTTACCTCAAGTTACGTAAAAATTATCCACTTCCGCGACCTAGCTTCTCCGTCAGATAACTTGCGTCATAAAAGGTTAAAAAAAAAAACATGAGAAAAAGACATTTCCTTTATATAACCATTTCAGTGATCACGTGATAACAAGTCACGTGACCTTGTAAAAGTATAAACAATTGGTAAAAAGATAGTAACAACTTTTAATGTCCAGAACAACAACCCGGGTAATACCTTACTCTTCCACCTGAACCATCAATTTCTTCCACAATGCAGTTTATATATATATATATATATATATATATATATATATATATATATATATATATATATATATATATATATATATTTCAAGTTACAGACAACTTGATATATGCATGTGAACAAATACTTTTCCATGCAAATTTTAACCTACCAATGAGATGGATGCAATTTAATGACTATTCTCATTTAAATATGGTCATTGTGACTGGCTGGATTTCATTTCACGTATAAGTACGTGAAAGAAATGTGATTTTACGTGATTTAAACCCAGCACATACGAAAAATTAAGTCATATCGAATTCGGAAAAACAAGATTAACTTTTAAATGTTTTATTATCTTTTAACGTTTTAAGATGTTTTATTATCATTTAAATGTTTTATTATCTTTTAAAGTTTCAGTCTAACCGACTTATTCTCAAAATAACTAAAAAAACTTTTTCATGACAATTCTACAATAATAGATAATTCTAAGGTTTTTAACGTGCACATTTAAAAAACAAATATTCGTGAAAAAATCAATTTGCTCATAGTAAATATAGTGATTTTTTATAGAAAAAAATATAAACAAAATGAAATTATCGTAAGAAAAATAAAGCGAAGAAACTGAATAGAGAATACGTATGATTAAAATTAATTAATGATATATCTTTAATGATATATCTTTAATCATTTGACCCCTAGCATGGCGATGATGTCACAAAGACGCTAGAGGTTATTCAAAAAGGTGAAAT